GAATGATGAAAGGTCATGTCGATCTGATTCTGACCGATACGAAATTTCACTCAGATGCCATCACTAGTGCAAACTGATGCGCCCATATGGTTTGGCGGATAACACATCGCTCTGTTAAAATGAAAGTCGGAAATTCCATTCCATACTGCACTCTTGATGTCTCATTCCATTACTTNACTTTCTCTCCCTGCTTGTATTATGCCGATTTGTTCATCAGTTTTGTGATAAAGCAATTTAGCGAAAGATTTTGTGCGGGTAATGTGGTTGCTTTATTGGTGGAAAATTTTCGTATTGGAAATATTAATTTGACGGGCAGAGAAGGAAGAAAATTCGCGAAATACATGACTGATATGACCAGGGCTGGTGTTGAAGGGGATCATCTAGTCATCGAAGATAGAGATTTATCGGAAACGCTGATGAATGATAGTGATTATGAATCTGAATCAACAAAGATGGTGATGGTGATAAAGGGGTATAAGAATTAGGGACAAATTAGTTTACTCTCTTCCTGGAAGTTGTAATATCATTAATTGTGATAACTTTTCATTCGCGAAATATTATTATTGTAATTGTTACCTTTGTTTCAAATATTTTGTTGTGAATCGATGTGTATTTTATAATTAGGAATAAACATTGCTTTCAATTTTAAAAATTGAAAAAATAACGTGAATCTGTCCTCATTGGGGTGTAAAGAAGATGACAAGTTGTGAAGATAATAAGTATCATCGATAGTTTTAACGAAAATGCCATGACGAATTGAACATGTCAGCCTGTTGAAATCAAAACAAACTCATAACTTTATTTCCCATCAGGTTTGGAAAAAGGGTATATTCGTAAGTATCGCTTCAAACCCTTTTCCGAGGTATGTTCCCTAAGTAGAGTCAAACGTTCTCATTCCGAAAACATGAAAGAAAAAAGTTGAATACATTGGCTATAACATGTAGTTCCGTTATTTTATATTCCAGTATGGATACTTATGCTATTTTCAGTGTGGCTACAAATAATTTACACAGTTAGTTGACTTAAACAACTTTATTTGGTGCTTGAAAATTGTTTGTGAGAGACGTAATTTTCTATATCTTTCAACATTTACCAATGATATCATCCCTGATAGTTAATAATGAAGCCATTTTTCCTATATTCAGGAAGACGTAAATAGCCCACTTGTAAAAGATTGTCTTGATAGATGCTTTGGTTCAGTTTTTATCAACATTTGAAATAATGTTCCAAAAATGGGAAAATTGGGCTCTAAAGGGTAAAACTGATATAATTATCATTCTTTTCTTTTGAAATAAATCTTTAGTCTACTATTTCATCATAAATTAATTCTACTTTACAATATTTGGTCCCTTTGCTTTATGTCACTAACCCTCGGGTGTTTCGGCTGAAAGTTTGAAAATCGTCAACTCTTTAAAAATCAACTCAAAATCGTCAACTTTCGTTTACATTCGTTATCCTCAGTGGTATATGCAGAAGAAACGGTATATCACCCATCCTATTCTAAAAAAATCATTCAAAATAATTAAAGATCTGTATATATGGGAGGCTTTCGACGTTTATTTTTTAGCGTTAGCGCAACATTTTGTTTTGTATTCATTTGATAAGTGATGCAAATGAATGTGTGATTATTTTGAGGCATTTAAATTTGGTCCACAAAGTGATCCAAGTGCCACTGTATTACCGCCAACATAAGTGAAATATCGCAGCGAAAAATGGCCCTAATTTAAAAAATCCTGCGTACGCCAATCGCCACCATCGATTGTAACGAAACACGAAACTTCAATAATTCCGGATTTCAGATTGATGAGACGAACGCGACGTGTTCATCTGTGGAGTGACACTTGTAGAAGTATGACTGCGATGGGATTCTTCGGAAACTCCATCATCTGAAGGGGCGCGTTTGTTCGAGTGCCTAACGTAATAGCGGCGTCACTATGGGAACCTGCATTACCATATACTCACACTAACTAGCTCTCATACATAGAGACTGAGTGGTACTTGACATCGCAACGTAGCATAAGCCCGATCCTAAAGCTTGGTTGGAGCTTAAGTCTACGCTTAGGACTAAACCTAATCTGGTCTCAAGTCTTGCCTGCGCCTGATCCTAAACCTAAGCTTAAGCCTAACCCTAAGCCCAAGTCCACGCTTATGCTAACTTATGTCAAAATTGTAGTCTCGACGGTTCTTTACTGGATACGTATTCTCGCCGACGTCGCATGAAAGAAGCGATGAAGATACTCATTCAATCCAAGAATAAATTACGAGTGGCCATAGTTAGAGTTAAATACCGCGATCGATAACATTTGTTCTCAAGCTCATACATGCGAACTATCTAATTATTTGATGGAAACCTCGCTGCAGTATGACAGAACGATCAGTTTGTTTGATGGATACCTCGGCCCGATACGAACCTCAGCTCGAGCCTAAGCACAAATAAAATCCATCACCCTACTCGCTTGCTTTAATCTTATTCAAAGATCTCTCAGCAGAACAGATATGCGACCACCTCTGCGCACTTGGACCAGCGCATCATTTCAGATTATTGAATTTTCGAAGAATCATCACATCCCCTAAAGATAGACCCACCTGGTCAGTGGTAAGAAGAGTATCGAGGAACAGTGTGAAAATCATTGGGATCAATTTAGCCCACCCTCAGCTTCGGCGTGAATGTGAGTCTCAAGAACGTAGTAATAAAAGAACCAAGGTACATGATAATCACCGGGAGCAATTTGGCTCACTCTCAGCCCGGGCGTGAACGTGATTCTAAGCGTAAGCCAAAACGTGCTCCGAAATGAAATCTTGGGCAAGAGTGAAGTGGATTACGCGGGTGATTTTCGAAAGGAGTCGACGCGTTATACGCTGACCGCACGTCTCATTTCTGGAACGCCGTCAAAACCTCACCACTGCCAGACTGTTCTAATTTTTCGCCGTCCCCTACGAGTATGCTTACACAGCATTTGAAAGAAGAACGCGCGCAGGCAGCAAACATATTGGGTAGATTTATTCGTGGCTGAATGATGCCTTCAATTTCATTTTATATTTTCATATATGTGTGTATACATCGGCAAGATATGTGCACGCTTATGCTATTTAGAGCATTGGATCGATAATTAATGTGATGTGAGTCATACGACGCCATTTCATAACTTATATACGAAACACGTGATGCGACTCATGCTTGTTGTTATTGTTATTCATTTTATAAATGATGCTGTCGTTTATTTCTAATCTTATATTCGTATAAATTTACGATTCAAATTTATGTTACGTGTTTTTGTCACGGTGTTCTTTTCGCCGCTCAGATTTGCGTCACGCCTTGATGTTTGTTGTTTTCCCAAAATTTTCAAATCTTGCCACTACTGGATCAGTGCCACTTTTGCTGGCACAACATTGACGTAAATAAACATTGACGTAAACAACATTTTCATGTGCTGATTTGACAACTGGAATAGAAATGCACCCAGTTTTGTCTCCTTACGTGCTCCTCTTTGCGTCCATGCCGGCTTATTTGTGAATTTTAGTCCATATAGCAATTCATGTCATTTTTAGCCTTGTCATTTTGATTTTTGATGTTCTGATTCAGTCAAACTTCTGCCGCGTAAGTTTTCTAAACCGTTAGGAGCAATGAAAGTATTGAGGTCCATGTGAAAGAAAGCGTGTTTTCAATTTTGAAAGCTTTCATAGCCAGTGCAGTTTTACATTGCAAATTGACTTGTTCGTCATTCACACTGTGAATTGTTTGGCCTATTTATGTATTCGAGAGCGAATGAAATGAGCAGCGTAAATTTTCCAGTGATATTTGATCAATTCATGCCTTATAGATTTCATCAAACGAAAGATTATTGATGTGTTTAGTAACGAGCAATTTCTCGGATTGCCGCTTCATTGATCGGTGTGAAGAATGTAGGAAAACCTGGACAGCTGATTGATTTGTTTCAAGTATTTTCGACTTCTGCAGCGTATTTTATTTTTTCGCGACTTCTGTTTAAAACCTTGCAGCGTTCATTCCCAGAATATTGTGATTCGTTTTCCGTTAGTATTCCTTACAGCAGGGTTTCTCAACCAAGGGTGATCGAGATCCTTGGAGTTGCGAGATAACTTTCAAGTTTTATACATCAAAGTAGGTGAGGGTGGGTCGGGTTCATTGCATATATGTGTATAAAGTAGGCGAGGATGGGCATTAACGTATATGTTTTTGAAAAGATTTCATGAATGAATGAAAATTTATTGTGAGTTTATGCAATTATTGCTTTATTTGTAATATTTTTCTCAGATGGTCACTTTGTATGTTATTAAAAACAAATTTAACAAGTTTTTTGGTCGCGTTAACTTGTATTCTTAAATAAAGCATTGCTGTGACGGATGTGAAGACATCTTAAAACTTTGCGGAAGGTGCGAGTGAAAGAAGGGTTGAGATGTACTAGCTTACAGGCATCGTATGTAAATCTGAAAAAGTACTTGGGTGCGATCGGTTGAAGGAAGTACAGTAGCATTTTCATTGATTATAGAGTATATTACTCCTGTTGGTGATTAAGCCTCAGTTCGTCAGAACAGAATTGAGACCTAATCACCACCCAAGACGGTAGGAAATATGCTCGCAAATCTTGTTAACAACCTTTCGATGAAGTGATTACTTGTCTTATGTCAATGTTTAGTTCTTTTAATAAGTACTTGATCTTGTTGCAATTGGAGAAACTGTCTTTACGGAAAATGAGCTTGAATTCGTTTTGTTCGATCAGTCGAAGACGACATTTACCAGTGATAGGCAGAATAGGTTTACTAATGCAGTGCATATATTCATATACCAGTTAAGGACGAGGGCATATGGTCGGTCTTTTTCTGTTCGATTAGATATCAACGCATTGTACTGAAGTGAAATTAATTATGTCAGTAATTAGTGAACGATATTGTCTTGCATGAGTTCAGTGGAACGAATGTTTGAAGTGATCGCTGTTCAAGTTTCAGCATTCATTGTCAATTTTAACGCTGCTTTATCTTCAATGTCGGCCAAACAAAAACAGCGTAGTTCGGCGCGAACGGTGGTTACATCATCGTCCTCGTCAACAACTAGATCCGAATATCCGGTCTCAGTAAGCACCGATGAGGGGAGTGAATCGTACAGGTCTGTTACAAGCTTATGATTATAATCCAAGTTCTTTACTGTTTCGGCCATACAGATATTGCATTTCAAGATCTTACTCCGTTCTATTCGTCTATTTTCGTGTTGTTATACTGTACCCTTATATCTGATTGGGTTGATTTATAGTCTTTTGCAGTGTCATGCATTTTCAGGTTTGTTTACCATCTTTAGAACGTGTGCGAAAATAAAATACGCTTATGCCATATTTGAAATCCGAGTCTGTTCTCAGTTTTAGGATTATTTGCATGGATTTGAGTCTAGGTGAATGAAATAATGAAGCAGTGTCATTGTGCTGCACGAACCCTTGCCCAAGAAATGGCTGTATTCTTCTCGGTTCATCTTTGGGTATTGCTATAAATTGATTGTAGTAACGTTCACTCAGACGTTCATGCTTGTATTTTGCAGCTGATTAATTGATGTAAAGTAATTCATTCGATTTCCAGTAATATCTCAATGTTATCACCAAATCGTCAAACCCGTCTCTTGGAGAAGGAAACTCTGTCGAATCTGAATGATCGTCTCGCTATCTACATCGATGTTAGTACACCAAAGATGTTGTTCTCATTGATGAAGTTATGCAATATGCGATAATCAGTTGTGATTATTGTGTGTACTTATTTATGAAATATCTCAAATTTATGTAATTGTTTATCAGAAAATGGTTGAAATGCATGCCTTATCTTATCACATTTGGAAGTTGCTTTCGGAGCACCGAAATGGCTGTATATAATCGAAATGAAGAAAAGCCATAGATGAAACAATATTTATGTGTTACATATTAATTCATAATTTTGTGCAGATATTTGCAGTTTATTTTATAAGTGCAAAAATTTCAGAGAGTTCGTCAGTTGGAGATGGAAAATGCGAGATTGAATGTGCGAATCAATGAGAGTGAAGTGGTTGAGAAGAGGGAACGCGAAGATTTGGTGAAACGTTACGAAGAGAAGATTAAGGAGTTGCGTGACTTCATGGATGAGGCACTCAAGGATAAAACCCGTCTCAATATGGATGCGAAATCTGCTATTGCAGAACGTGACACTCTTCGTGCGAAGGTTGTTTTGCTTCATTGTTGGAAAGTTTTTCAGTGGGTTTGAAATTAATGAGTTGGTAAGTAAGTGGCATTAAGTCATATTAAAGTAGAAATCAGTTGAGAAGACTTGTCGAAGTCTCTAAGAGGGAAGCACTAAATATCACGCTTGAAATCATATTTTATAAACTAACAATATATCATCACAACTTTATTCATTTGATGTAAAAAAGTAGGGAACGTTCTCAGGGGACTTTTCAAAAGAATCTAATCTGCGATTCGAATCCAGTTAGTAAATTCATTTGTCTGCTTTACTATAGTTCGTCGTTGTTTTTATCTGGAAGAGGCCAAGTAACTTATTCAACTGCATAAGTTACGTGATAATTGATTGTTGCTCTGTTTAAAGATTGGTAAGCTGGAGAAGGAATTGAAGCAGTCAGAGAAGTCACGTCTCAGCGTCGAAAGTCTCATCCAAGATTTACAAGGGCGTGTGAATTCAGCAGACAATATGAGAAAACATTTGGAAGACGAGAATAAGGTAAGGATAGAGTATTTTCAACTGCTGTTTGTTTTTAGTAAATGTTATAATTGATATTGTGTTGTATGTATACCTTCGTTCCATTTCGCCATTTCGTTGAC